AAAGCACTTTCTGCTGGGTGGAGAACAAAGCAGGGATGGTGACTGGTCAATAGTGGACACAGAAGCAGGCAGACAGGAGGCAAAGCATCCTCCTGTGCCAACAATTGCATACCCTGAATACAGCAGAAAGGTGAAATACCTCGTTTTGGAGGCAAATGGGCCAGATTCACTGATGGGATAACAGGTATTTTTCTTGAATGCCTTCTGGCTGAGGTGGCCTGGATTGGCTCTTAGGGAGCCCATGAACACCAGGGAGCCCATGAACACCAGTCCTGACTGAACCATAAGGGTCATGGCTTCCTTCCCTGCAAAAAAACCCAACCCTTATCTTACTCTTTCTTAAGGCAATAAGCAGCCCTTAAAGGGTCTGCCGGTTGAACTCAGGTCCCCATCACAACATGCAGTGTTCTTCACCTACAGAAGCACTATTCCAGCTCTCCCTGTGCTTCCAGTAATCCACACTCACTTCCTGAACACCCCCCCAGAAACATTCAAGGGGCAGCTGAGGGGCTGCTTTTGAGCTGGCCAGGATGCCTGGAAAAGCTGTGGTAGATCCCCTGTCTCTTCTGTGCTCTCCAACAGTGACCTTGCTCCCGCATCCCTACCAGGTCCCACAGACAGCCCCAGGCTCCTCTGGAGTGAGCTGCCAGCCCGAGATCTTCGCAGTTCACTGGCTTCACCCACTGCAGCAACATAACAGGGCAATTTCCCAGCAACTGTACTGGAAGGACTTCTCCAGTGTGCGAAGGTGGTTCCTGACGCTAGCAGTGGCTGCAGTGTCCTGAAAGGTCACTGCACAGCACAGCTGAGGTGCCTCACATGCTCTGCAAGCTTGTGTCCCTCAGCGTAGGTTCACCAGTACAAGCAGTGAAAGGTTTCATCTCACTTCAGCTAGGTTTGCAGTATCTGGGCAAATAAAGTGACTGGAGTGACTCAAGGGATAAACTATAAATAAATAAAATGAAAGGTGAACTGGCCAAACTAATGTGTGCCATCTATGCTGTAGACACTCTTACACTCTTCCCATATCTGGACTCATTCATGAGGTCCACCGCCACCCAGCAGTATCATCTAAAAGTGACTTAGCACAGCCCTGCTGGGCTGAGCAGCACGCAAATGGGCTAGGGAGGGTGTTAGGGGACTGAAATCATTCAGTCAGGAAGGACGGGGGCAGGTGAAAATTGATATCCAATCAATATTGCATTAGGTATTTCTGCAGCCCACTGGAGTGGTCAGAACCGCTGTCATGTCATTGAATGGCTTGGGTTGGAAGGGACCTTAAAGCTCATCCAGTTCCAACCCCCTGCCATGGGCAGGGACACCTTCCACTAGAACACGCTGCTCCAAGCCCCTGTATCCAACCTGGCCTTGAACACTGCCAGGGATGGGGCAGCCATAGCTTCTCTGGGCACCCTGTGCCAGTGCCTCAGCACCCTCACAGGGAAGAACTTCTGCCTCAGAGCTCATCTCAATCTCCCCTCTGGCAGGTTCAAGCCATTCCCCTTGCCCTGTCCCTACAGGCCCTTGTCCAAAGCCCCTCTCCAGGTCTCTTGTAGCCCCTTTAGGCACTGGAGCTGCTCTAAGGTCTCCCCCTTCAGGAGCCTTCTCTTCTCCCGGCTGACCCAGCCCAGCTCTCTCAGCCTGGCTCCAGAGCAGAGGCCTAAAGAGGCCCCAGCTCCCTGCAACCTTGTGCTGTGTGAAGTGTGGCTCAGACACAGGGGCTTTATGTCTGACGTGCCTAGAAAAGACCTGAACTGAATGAAACTCCCAGCCCATGACTTTTGGTCCAGCCAATCTTAGTGGACCCTTCCACGTCCTAAGCAGCTTCTCAAATTCTCAATCTCCTACATTCCTGTCTCTTTCTAAAATGCAGGACAACAAGAAAACTTGGTAATCAAATCATTTTAAACAGAATCACAAAAAACAGGCCTGAAAAGGAACTGGAGACATTATCTAGTCCACCCCCCTTGACAGATAAAGAACAGGATTGAGAGGCCTTAAGTAACTAGAAAATCACAGTGGGAAAGAGACCACAATAAAATGGACTGGGCTAACCCACCCCCCAAGAGACCCAGGTTCAAATCCTGGCTTCTGTCACAAGTGGAAGTGAAATTTGCATGGTAGTTTTGTTCTCATCCCCCTCATCCCCTATTCTTTCTTTGTTGCCAAGTGTGGCAATAAGAAAAAGCTGGTTGGATTCATCTCCATATCTTACTGTGTCCTTCCGACACAGAAGAGGGCAGCTGACACAAGTTGTCTCTCTCCCCCCTCATACCTGAACCTTTTGTATGAAAAGCAGAATTATCTGTACAGATGAAGTGCCACTCCACCAAGTGTCTGTGCAAAGCTTGCAAGGAGTGATGCTCCACACCTCTGGTACTACCCAGGCCCACCTGGAGCATCTCTGACGGCAGCACTTGGAAGGCATCCCTTCTGGAGACTGTCTTCCTGATAGGTCTTATGGTCAATGCACTTGTACCAGAAACCCAAGAAACTGCTCAGATTGCATCTGTACAGGACACTACCTTGAAACGACACCACAGAAATGACACCACCAGATAGAAAGGGTAGGACCCCCAGGATAATACTAGATGTTTGAAGATCAATCTACCAGGCTCAAGCATTATGCAATTCCCTCCTTCATACAGGAAGAGAATGGCTCGAGGTTTGTACCCAATGTACTCATATGCTTTTTAATTAGAGAAGTGTGGGGGGAAATGTGCCTTTACAAAAATTCTCTCCCAGTTACTGCTCCTCTGGCCTCTGCCCCAGGAAGGTTCCCAGTTTTTCCACTTCTGTGAGAGACAGGAAACTGGAAGAAGTTGGTACAAGTTTAAGTAAATACTGAAAAAAGTTTGTCAGCTTTAACTTGTTGAACTGGATGGACCTCAAATTAGTAATAAAACCATATACATGTTTAAGAGGTGCAATAGCAGTATGGAATCTCAGGACTCATAAGCTGTAAGATCACTCACTGCCACATCTAGTAGGTGCGGATGTGCATATCTCACAAAAAGCATCATTGCTCAGCACCCTGTGGCCTCTCCTACCACAGCCACCTCTGTTACTCTTATCTGTCCATGCCAGACATTTCATGGGTGTTTAAACACCAACTGATTAACCAGTTCTTCTGCACTGAGATGGAATATGTATCTATCAATCCCACAGGTTTGAAAGTACTTCCCTGCTGCCTGGGCACATGAACACCATGTCTCACATCCTACTTCCTAATAGTTATTCTTCAGTTCTCCTCACTTTATTTTTATTTTTTTTTTATTTTTTTTTTTTTTAAGGTTTGATGTTGTTTGGAGGAAGCAAACTGGGGCTATGGGAGAATCAATCTTAACTTGAGTCATCTACCCCCTCTGTAATGGTTTTGTACCATTAATTTTGCTGCTGGAGCCTCGCTTATCTCTTAGTGGTTCCCATGGGGTGTGGAGCACTGTGAAGCCACCTGCATTTCACTTTACTTCCTCAGGCACAGGCCCAGCCCTGAAAATATCAGCCTTGAGGGAAACAAACAGTAAATTGACAAACAAAGCTGGAAATGAAACAAAACTCCCCATCCCTGACAAGCCATTACACCAGTCCTTGTCTGGAAGCTCTCCTCAGTTTGTGACACCAGGATTTGAAACAGGGTCTTTTGTACCTCATGGTTAGCATGATGCTTAAAAAACCCAAACTTCTCATTGGGAAGAGGTTATGAAGACCTACCGCTGATGGAAATTTTCTTTATAACATGCCAAAGGATCTAATCCCCTCAACTGCTTCTGGGAGTAGTTCTGGGACAGTCATGGATGGAGCAGACTGAGTCCAGGAAGGGTCAAAAGCCAACCCAGGGCAGGATTGGACACTAAGCAATTAAGAAAGTTGATGGTAGAAAGGCAATTGGTACCTGTGATGGCCTTGCTTCCTGGGGATCCAGAATTTGGAGCGCGGAACATCTGGGATTGGGATGCCGGTGGGACACCGGAGGGGGTGCGGTGCAGGAGGGTAGAACATCGGTTTATTGAAGCCGGTGTTTTTTTGCTGGCTTGGCTCGCCTGTGTCTTCACTGCCACGAAGAGTGGAGATCGAGAGAACTCTGGATATGAACACTCAGAACTAGTGCCTGGACAGTCAGTCAGCTCCCAGCTCGAGGGCCTTCTGGGAGGGTTTGCTTTCTAACAGCCACGCTCACGAATCCCTCGCACGGGGACCTGCAGCGACTGTGGATCCACCGATCCCATAGAACAAAACTGTTTTTCCCCACTCACCTGAGGGGACAGTCTTGAAGCCTGTTAGTTTCCTTCCACACCTGTAACTGCCACGTGACCAACCCATTCCTCCTCCAGCAGGAACACCCCATCCATCCAGGAGTACTATTTGACTACCATGGCCTGGCTGGGTATACCTGCTCCTCTGTCCTCCATTCCAGTGTATGTAAGAGTTTGAATATTGTGAGCAGGTTTCTAATGTGATACTCAGAGCTCTGAACAGGGAGAAGTTTACATCTTTGTTACTTGAGCCTTGTATAAATCCTAGAGATCTCCAGCTACATTCCTTGTCTTGTAAACCAAATACAAAGGAAAGGAAGGGTTGGTAATGGAAGGGAATTAGGAGGCAGAGTTCTCATCCTGCAAGTCAGGAAAAGCCTTTTGGCCCCTATCTCCAGACAAGTCACATGGTGACATGTGGAGAAATCCTGAGTATTACTAGGATATGCAATTTGAATGCATCTACATTTTGGTCCCTGCATTGCACATTGAGGATCACCAGGAATTTTCAATGCCAAAAGTCGTGTGAAAACCCTTCAGGAGGACAGCCCCTTGTCTAGAACACATAGATTAAAAAAACTATTACAAAAATGGAGAAACAACCTAACAACCCTCTTCATTCCTCAGGGGCTTCTTCCATGGAAATTTGGATATGGCTCCTGAAGCCCAAGTCCCACTCCAACCATCTGCCACAAAGAATCACTAAGAAACAAGGTCCACATAACCCCCAGGCCAAGGTTGCTACCAGTGATTTCTACAGAGTGGTATTTTAGGATTCCTGAGGCAGGATGGACAACACAAGCTCCTGTTCATCCTATACGATGTAATTCAGAAATCCTTATCCCCATGGAGCAGCTCTCCATCCTGGATTGCCACAGCAGCACAACAGCCTGAGTCTGAAACAGGGGAGGAGAAAAGTCACCCAGGCTGGGGCTGGATGCTCATTTCCCAAATCCCCTGAGACATGACAGACCTCGAATGTGAACTGCTCTCACCTTCCCTGTGAGCACTAAGCACCACTGAAGACTGAGGGTGGTACATCCAAAGCAGCTTGCAAAAAGATACTCAATACATGCAATACATGGATCCAAGATGAGATTTAGTGTAAATGTTAGTGTAATTCTGCGGGAGATTCTGCACTAGGTTTTCTCATACTTTAAGTCAAGACACTTCTGTGCTTAGTCTCTGGCCAGCTGACCAGGCAGGAGGCTTGCTTTTGCTCTATACTTCCTTTCAATCACCACGAATAGCCCTCCTCCAATTGCTGCCAAACAAAACTGTACTCATATATCAAAATTTCCTGCTTATGTGTCATCTAGTTTCCCACAAACCCCATTCCCACCAATTGCTGCTTTATTCCCTGTCCATACCAAGAGAAGTAGCCATCAGCCAACCACCCAGTGTCAGAAAGAGCATCACTGTGAGTCCTCTGCAGTCCAGATACTGCTTTCTGAGGTCCAAAGAAAAGTCTCAATGTTGCGAAGACCTCAAAAATTACCTCTGTTTCGTCCCAACTTAAACAAATAGTATGTCTTAAAATTCAGACCCCTGAGAGAAGGCTGCTCCATCTGACACAAGGCAGAGACAGAGCTTAAGCCAGCAATGCAAAGACAGACAGAAGAATATTAGTTTTACCAGACTGGAGGATGCCAATAATGCACTGTAAAAAGGTTTTAGTCTGTAGTTCATCAGATGACAAATTTCCTCTGACATAAAAGCAACACAGGTAGAGATGTTCATGTAGCTCCTCTATTCTGCTCTTGAAAAGTCATTTTCACTGTGGAACACACTGCCTCAGGCTCATCAAATGGCCAAGTTCAAGATACTTCCAAATATGAAAATACTGAGTTGCTGAATAGTTACAAAAACCTCGTGCCCCAAAATCTGCAGCTGAACAGCAAGACTGGAGACAGGATTGTGGACAGACAGTCCTGTAACTGCTGCTATGAAATCCACAGAATCATAGGATCAACCAGGTTAGAAAAGACCTTTAAGATCATAAAGTCCAAACACAATCCCAGGACAAAATTCCTTAAACTTTCTCAGAAAGCATCTGAGAGATGCCCCAGTTGAAGCTGACATACTGGGGAAGGGTAGGCAGGAGAGGAGGAAGGTAGAGGTTAGGCCTCACTGAATGATCTCACATCACTTGGTAAACTGAGTGCTACAGCCACACATGGTGTGCTAAAGAATAGAGGTGATACAGATGATACTTAAAAGATGGGGGACTCCACCTTGGCAGCAGGAAAAAGAGCTTGTTCATTGCTGTGCTCAGTCATGATGGCTGTTGTGGAGCTCTCAGGGCAATGATGTAGCTAAAAAGACTTATGCATCCCTTGGGTATGGAATGAGGGCACTTCCAAAGAGGATCAGGAAGACAACGTTAGCTCTCAGTTCCTCCACTAGACCCAGTGCTGGTGCATGCCCTTCATGAGGGTGGTTAACTGACTTGAGAATATTCCCTTGAGAAGACAAGAGGACAACTTAAGGACAAGAACAGAATCCCTTCCAAAAGAAACACCAAATCACTCCTGTGGCTTAACTGGGAGGTAGGTCCTTACGAAGTGACTGGACAGCAGGTGACACAAAGCTCTAGAAAGGACAGAAATTTGGTGACCTAGCCCTCCCTCAGCCTGCAAAGTTATAGACAGGATCCAGTGTCTGAAAGCTATAAGTAGTAATTCATCAAAATAATTATCTTAAGAGGTTGCTCTATGTTCTGTCACTCTTAACAGCGAGTTTAGATGTCTTTTTAGAACATGTGAGCACTTAGATCAAGGCATGCGTACTTCATACGGCACGTGTGCTCCAGTCAGCCCAGAGACCACAGTGGTCCCTTCGGCCCTTCCTGCCTTTGGTAAGACCTTCAAATGAGTGGCAAGCTGTGGCACTAAGCAGCACTGGCAGACATTTCACATGTCTCCTAGAAAGATACCTAAATCCACACGCTACTATAATGTGCCACCACAACAGCACAGGTATCAGGTTAGCTCGATAACTTTAACTTTGCTTTTTCCAGGTAAAATCTGTGGCTAATAATTCATGTATCCCATTTTTTCAGAAAGATCTTGCCAGGATGGGTAAGGAACCATTTGATGGTCCAGATGGAATTATACCATCACGTCTGAAGAAACACCTCTTTAATGAACATGATGGAAAGTGGTTCCTTAACAATTGCCTGAAATTCAACATGCTGAGCAGAAACCTCTGCTATTGGAAATGGGTCTTTCCACAGGACACCCCCCCATGCTCCAACCTATTCTTAATGTGCTTCTTTATACATACCAACAAATACTTCCAGAGGAGCCTGTTGCTAAGGCACTGTGGGATCAGAGAGTGGGAAAAACACCTGAACTCCCAGATTTCACTCACTAAGAACGAGGAAGCAAAGACACACCATCCAGCCAGAATCTGCATCTGGTTAGGCAGGACCTGTGTGGAAACTAGACATGCTACCCAAAGGATCCCTTTCCCTAAAAGAAAAAGCCATGACAGCAGCTGCCTTTAAGGAAATCTGTGTTTAAGTACCTTTGATGAACAAATTGTATCCAGACTCCTTCATGATAAGAAAAGTAATTGAGCAGAGCGGCTTGATGAACTTCCTTATGCATCTCAGGTGTCAGGGTGGAGGTAGGTCTGTCTCTCCCCTACGGAGCCATGTCCATCTAGAGTCTGGCAGAGTCTTTGACAGCTAGGGCCCATCCCACTGCCTCTGGGAGGTGAGCAAGGCAGGGCCAGAGAAGACAGCCAGATATGACCAAGAGTCCAGATCATCAGGATCAGTTCATGGCCATAAGACAAGTCCATTGTCAAGATGTAAAGTCAATCCACAGGCCAATGGCAAGATCAGCCCTGGTGATCCAGACGTACAGTGGCAACCCTCAGGGAGGTCGAGTGATGAGATAGGGTTGACATCAAGCTGGGAATTCAGTCTACTGGTTGTTGGGGTACACACCAGTGGGATCCATGGTCAGGAATTGGCATGTCTATGACTGAGTGCAAGACCAACATCCTGCAGTATAGCTCAGGCAGGGACTGGTGGTCTAGAGCTGAGCTGAAACAGGGGTTTTGAATATGGGCAGAAGCCTTGTGTGAGGCTAGTGAGGGCCATTAAGACCTATTAGTGTACTCAGGGTCCAGCCATCCCTTTTGATTTCCATCCTGGAAGCAACAGATACAAATAACTGTGCAGATTTTAGTGCTCTCACCACATACTGCCATTGTCAGGGAGTCTGTTGCCTTATCTGCAGTTACCAGAAGAGGATGAGGTGAGTGCATACTCCTGAACCTGGACTTACCAAGCTAAAACCCACTGCTGGTGGCTTTTCTAGCCAGTCCACATCCCAAACACGCCAGGTTTTCTCTGCACTGTTGACACATCATCTAAGAGCAATCACAATAGCCCAGCCACCTGCAAATGTGGTTAAATCAGTTCCATCACAGAGCAGATGGAGCCTGGAGGAGGACAGAGAGATCTCTGAACCCTCCCCCTGTGCACCTCCATTCAGAGGCATTTCTAAAACTGGGACAATGAATGTGCCTACAACCCACTTTTTTGGGGAACAGCCTCTGATACCCTTCTTAGAAAGAGTGAACAGGCTGACAGAAACAGCACAAGAATATGTATCGTTTGAGTGATAGCCCAGTTCCAACCATAAGAAAACTCCTCACTAACAAAAGGGAACTTTTGAAGGAGACATTTGGCATTAACAATTCCAGGGAACCCCACGGCAGAGCTCTTTTCCAGACAGCAGGTATCCAGCAGCACTGACCAAAACTTAACCTGCAAGGCCCTGTTGACCCTGCAGGATATGAGTCCTTAGTTTAGCCCATTTTCAAGGAATATTTATCCACTATCACAGCAAACCAGAAAGACAGGCTCCGGAAGGGAAGCTTGCACTCAAGCAGAGAGACCCAGAACATTGAACTGGGAATGCTGAAGTGTTCTCCTACCCGCTCCCACTACAGCTAATTTTTCAGCATTTGCCTTATAACCAGTAGAACAAGACCAGGGTAAAGACATGGCCTTGGCTTTACTTCTTCTGACTGGTAGGGCCCAAGAAAAGCCAGTTGTGCTTTTCAAACCTCATGTGTTCACAGCTGCCCCACAGGACCTTGGTCTACAGGAAGAGCAGAGCCTAAGCAGTAGAAAAGGCGGGAGGATGGAGTGGCCAGCCTGCCCTAGAGCTCCTCATGCCCTCTCCTCTGTGCTCCTCAGGGTTAGTGGCCTGTCACTGTAAATCATAAATCTTACTGGTCATGGGAATTAGGAGAGGAAAAAAAGGGCTAAAGAAAACAAAAGGAAAAAGAAAAGTTTATGGGGAGGGGGTTAAACTTCATGAAATTATTATTATCCTGATCTGAAGTGTCCTTAAAGATATTTGCTGGAAGGACTGGAAACCCATCTGCACATCTCAGTGACTGCTGGTCTAGACTGCAGCAGGGGCAGCTTCCTTTGCTTTCACAAAGGTTACTGCAGAAACCATGGTGCAAGAATGGCTTCAACCCCAGCATTCAAAAGAATGTGCCTCCTTCTCCAAAACTGGCTTCCAGGACCCAAAAAGTGGGCATCAGGACCCTGCACTCTGCACAGGGAGAAGAGCAGCATTTATGTGGACCATTTGTATCAGCAGTCAGATCTGCAGGGCCCACTTCAGGCAAACACCTCCCAGAGAAGAACAGTTGGGTTTTCTCTTATGCTAGAGAGCCTGGACTGGAACCAGGACCTGCAACTACTTACTACAGATAGGTGGGAGGGTGGAGAGATATCCAGAGCGATAAATCCCCTTGAAATGGGAAGCACTGGGAAGATAAGGATCTGCTATTGCTGAGGGGAGATTCAATGCACATTCCTTACAGCAAAGAGCTCCTTAGTTATCTGGACAGGGGTGGACTAGAGACACCACAACCTTAGTGTCTGAGGGCCCATCTAGACTAGGAGACCTACCTACTGCTGATCACCAAACACCAACAGCTTTTCTGAGGACCTGAAAACATCTAAATTAAGAGGTGGGGGTTGGGGGTGCAGGGATGTTCAGGAATAACTGTTGTATGTGCTAATGTAAGCACTGGGTTAGTTCATTCAGGCAGATGGAAGATAGTAAGACTAACTTTGTGGTGATGGTGACAGAGGTATTTTATGCCCTACACCTTCTACCCTGATCTTGGTCCATCTCTATGCTTCAGAGAACCTGCATGGGAGCTGTTGAGAGCCACCAAGCCTTGACCCACCTTAAAAGTGATAGTCTGGTGGATTATGTTCCCAACTGATTTCTATATATATCTAAATCCAAAGCTACCTTATTGTAACTTAAAAACCTAACTAAAGCTGAATTTGGTGAGGAAGGAGTATGTGTTCCCTCTGCTGGCTGTGGATGAGCAGCTAAAGAAACCCACTAAGCTCATGAGCTCAGCTCATCCATACTCACCATCAGCCAAAGTGCTGCCAAAAGCAGTCACACTGGCTCCCAGCACTCACACTGCAACGAAGCACAGGCCAGTGCTGTGAAAGATGCATGAAGTTCAGGAGTAAAGAACTTCTCTGCACACTTTCAAAGCATCCAAACCCAGCATGCAGCAAGAATTTCAACTATTTTACTAAAATTTTGTACTGGATTAGACTTAATAGCTCATTAAAAGCTCCCCTGTGTCTGGGGAGTGCAGATCACAGTGTCCCTCCAGAGCACAGGTCGCACTGCCGCGCAGTGTGCTCAGAACTGCCTTTTGCCCAGCTTCCCGAAATACATATTTTATTGCCTGGGATAACAAGCTGCCAAGGCTACACGATGCTGAAAACCAGTTTCAACTCACTGTCTGAAATAGTTTCTCAGAGGCTTGTAGGAAAGATGTTCCTTCCCCAGCACATTCTGGGATTATTTAGGGGAGTCTAAAAATTTTCTGAGTCACTTAAGTTAAATAACAAACTAAAATCTCAACCCCCTGAAGAACATATGCAGAATTTTATGGACTTTGGTAAAATTCAGTGACATTACACACCTCACAGTAACAACATCCCTCTGAGAGGAGATTCCAGCTCAGCTTCCCAGCATATGCTCCATGCCCTGCCAGCTGCAACCCCACAGCTCCAGTGGAAGGACCCACAGGACTGACAACTCTCTCCTGTAACCCTGGTGTTCACCACCAACCACTGTAAATCACAGGCTGCCATGAATAGATCTCCAGCAGGATACTCACTAATAGGTGCATGCAGCGCCACGTGCTCTTGGTAGGGAGTGTAGTATTTGTACTGCTTGCCACAGAATTCACAGGTGTAATTGCCAGTTTCTGTGAAGATGAAAGAAAGATCAGAAAGGAGCGCAGCATCCTCTCACACAATCACTGCCTGGTTTATCACACAGGAACTGGCCGGGTGATAAAAACTGGAGCATATTCCTCACGCACTTGGAGCTTACCTGCCCTGTAATTCACACATTCTTTTCCCCAGCAAAGGAAGTGTCGAGAGTGATGGACAAAAGGTCTGGTACAACTGAACAAACTACAGGAGATTATCATAGAATCCCAGCCTGTTTTGGATTGGAAGGGACCTTAAAGCTCATCCAGTTCCAACCCCCTGCCATGGGCAGGGACACCTTCCACTAGAGCAGGCTGCTCAAAGCCCGTGTGTCTGACCTGGCCTTGAACACTGCCAGGGATGAGGCAGCCACAGCTTCTCTGGCAAGCTGTGTTTCTTATGGCTAGGGCTGTTGGTGTTTGGGGTTCATGTGACCCTCTGTGAATGCAGTGCTGTCTGGTTCTCCTAGAGGCTCTCCAGCTAATGCCCGATTTGAAACGCTTGTGCTTTTTCTTTCACATTTGAAGGTGTAGAATAACTCATACTTGGACCAATCTTCTGGAATGGTTCCGGCTCCTCCTCCTTCACTTCCTCTGCTGCTATGACAGCCTGGTCATAGGGGTCTGCAAGAGAACAGAACCAGCAAGAGAGCTGACAACACCCTCAGGTTTTCCTTCAACATCTGCATGGGCACTGAATGCTCCTGCATCTGTAATGACATTTCCATCTGTAACAAGATTTCAAGACAGAAATTACAAACCAAATGACCCCCTCTCACTGACTTGTCCCTCCTCAGGTGCCCTAGGATTACCCTGCTCCCAGCCCAGCAATATGCCTTGTAGGTATGTAATGTTTAATACAGAGGAGGACTGAACAAACACATTGCAAAGCCTGATCCATACTTTCTGATCTTCTTCCAGTGCATCTCCTATCTAATGATGTTATACTGTCTGAAAGTGGTAATGCAGTTTGCAAGCAAGTCAGATAACAAATGCTGGCCAGTGACTTCCTACCAACTAACAGCACAGTGAGCAACAAATCAGAACCCAACCCATTTTCTAAAAGAATTTCATTTATGCCTTGAACAATTCACTAAATCACCAAAGACATGAACCACCTTTTTCTTTTGATTTTAGAAGCCTGATCAATTGTACATACAACAAAAGCCTGGTACCTGCTAGGGCTGGGCAGCAACCTACTGGCTGTAGACACTGGGGGAGGGAGAGAGGATGCTCCCTCTCCTGCTGCAAGCAGTGACACAACTCCCTTGACTCTTGAAAGTGTAGAATTGGACCTGCTGTGCCTGAACTACTGAATGCTTGGAAAGGTTTGTGAAATAAAGCACATGAAGGAGCTCTGCTTACCTGCCCGGTTTTCTGGGGCCCCTTCCACACTAAAAACTAACACAGAATAGAAGAAGGAGGGGAAGAAACAAAACAGAAATTAAATCCACTTAAATGGCCTTGTTTTCCTCCTGCATTTCACGCACCACTTCAGCATGTTTCAGCCCCATCAGAATAAACCAGGCTTTGTGCCCCAGTCCCTCCTCTTCCCAGCAGCATCCACACAGAACTATTCAAGCATGCCCAGCCCTACTATATACAGATGTTCAAGGCCTTTGTTCTGACACTGACATGGCCCCATGTGAAGTTCAGATGCACAGCTGCCTCCCACTTGTGTTTGCTACAACAGCCCCTTGGAGGAACTGATACTAAATGTCCTTGCAGGACACAAGTGAAGCCATTCAAAGCCCTCCTGTAACCCTAGGCAGAGTTCCCTGAACCAGAGCTATGAAGACATGCTTCTGACAGAAGCAGACACATCTCACAGTGACTTGTGGGTCTCAGTAACTGAATTTTGGCTCCCTATGGGAGGAAGGGAAGTGCAATGGTGCACTGCAAGAGAACACTGGCTGTCTTATAGCAAGTTCAGATGGCCATATGTTCAGCTAAAATCAGCCATTTTTCTGGACACCACATATTGTGAAAACCCACTTGCTTGTCTGAGACATCCAGCCATCTAAAACCTCCTGCTCTCCAGGCAGCCTCTCTCTCTAACTCTGCCAGGGCTCCTTCCTTGGCCAAGTGAGGAGCAGAAGTAACGGGCATGCAGCATACACAGTGAAAGCCTGGAGTATCTGTGGGCTCTCAGTCGAGGACCTTTAGATGCCCACAAAGCAGGGCAGGCTAAAGTATGTTGTTGCTTCTATTTCCCCCAAAGAAACACTGCTTCTGGAGGAGGGTGTCTGCTTCTGTTCCGAGTGTCACTAGCCCTCGGCCACATCTACATTCACAGAGAAAAAACTGACTTGTAAGGTCCACTGCCAAATGCATCAGTTCACTACCACAGTGAAACAACATTTCTCAACTCTGAAATGTGGTTTCTCACTGAGGACCATGGTGGGAACAAACCTACGGAAACCAAAAGGCGACCAACTCATGCCTAGTGAGTAGCCAGACTGACAATTTACCTTGAGGTACTCAGTCCCAGCACAGCCCTCCTAACCACGAACCTCCACACAGACAGGACTGCAAGGACCACAGGTCCCAGCAGAGGGTGTTATTTTGATGCACACAAACTGAATCAAGCCCAGCAAAGTCCTCCTGCAGCACCTGTGGACCATGCCTCCACTGACCAAGGCAGAAGCCATGCTGTGCAATGTCCTGCACATCACAGGTCACACGGTTCTGCAGAACCACCTTTTGCCTTCCCCAACGACTTCTCCTTCTAGTTTGGGTGTCAAAACAGTACTCACCATCCACGGCGTGCAGGTCTCTGTGCTCTTGGAAGCAGCTATAATATTTATATTTTTTCCCACAAATGTCACATGTGTACCTAAAATTGTCTGTAGGAAGAAGAAAACAGTCACTTTAGAAACTCTGAGGTGAAAGGCACCATTCCAGACAATGCTGCTCAGCCAGACACCCCCATGCACTTATACTCATCCCACATGCTTCTGCCAAATCTCTAAGGCACAGAGACCACCACTGCTTCAGAATGTTCCCTGCATGTACCACGCTCCATGGCTCAGGGCATATTCTGATTTGTTACTTCCTACTCAGCCAGCTCTGCTCTCCAGTGCAGCCTCCACAAGACCTCACAGCAGTAAAGACAGAGAGCAGCAGGCCCTGACGAAACCTCCTTTGGAAGTAGGCAAATGCTTGTCAGGATGGGGAGAAACTGACAGAACTAAAGACAGAGTCAAGACATGAGCTGTTAGAAGTCAAAGTCACAACAGGCCAACTACAGCATGGTCTGGATGTGCCCACATGCTCACTCCACGCTTGGTTCTCACTGCTGCTGCTTACTGGTTACTAACCACATCCAAGATCCCATATGGGCACATTATAATAAACTAAAACCAGAGAACCAACCAGCAATCCAAACCACACAAGACAGTTAGGTGCTCAGTGAAAAGGAGGACTGATGGAGCCTGGTTTCATCTACGTTTATACCCCAGACCCCTCCCTTCACCCCCGTACAACAGCCCTCTTCAGCACAGCTGGGTAGGGAAGACAGAGAGATGCAGAAAAGCTGAAGATGCTCATGAATTCTGGGGACAGTGAATGTTTTTGGCTCAGCTATTGAATCAGTGTAAGAGGAAAGTTTCATTTGTCAGCATGGGGGGGTTTCTCCATCTTCTTATGTCTGACACACATGTTGGGGTACAGCCTGACAGCCCTAAGCAGTCACCCATCCACAACCTGCAGCACTGTCTTGTCAGCCAACTGCAGTAGCTGATGGGTTGTGTATTACCAGCCCATTGCAAACCAAGTGAAACACACCAGCTTGTGTAGCCACAAAGGATCTGGAAACAAATGTGTTTTGCTTCTCCACAGGAGCAGAGTAGGAGGTACCCAGCAGCTGAGCTGGCTGCCAGTGAGCTCCCTGCAGTATCTCAGCTGTTTGTATTCATGTCTTCATACCATTAGCAAAGTCAAAGCCTTGTTTCTACCTCCTCCATACTGTGTTCAAACACACAGAGTATGCACATTAAGCCTTCGTTTTATTTCTTAATCATTTTAGTTTTAAAAGAAATAACTCTTTTAAGCTCCTATGCCTTGGTACAGTCTGATCCCTCACTTGGGCTCACACTGCAGCCCCTCAGCACATGGGGTTTCAACACTAAATCAGACAATCACCTCCTGCCCTTTATGCTGCTGGGCAGGAGGAAAGTAGAAGCTAGGGTGATCTATAAGAGAAAAATGCCAGCTATTAAACAGCTGGGCACTGGAACTTTACCCCTGCTACCAAAACCTATTTGTACCTTAATCAGAGCACAGCAGTGCTAAGCTAGATCTAAGGGAGTTCTAAAAGCCTAGGCTGAACAAGTGGGACAGAGCTCAGGCATGTATACGGAGATGAAAAGGAATTGCTGCTTCAGCCAGTGCTTAAGGAAGAGGAGAAGCAGCAAATCAGGACTGTGAGAACATTCAAGTGATGAAAGCACTGGTGGGTCACATTTAACTATGTTTCATTATATTATCTTATGCAGTCTCCTTCTGTGGTCATACAACAGCTCTGGGGGTCTCAGTCTACCCTGGACCCTTTCTAACAACGAAGAGACTGTAGTGATCACGCGTGAAGAGCTGTGTATCTGCTGCAAAAAAAAAACCATTATTAGCAGAGAAAATTCTTATCATGTCATCAGTAATCAGCCCCACATCACTGGGCGTCCCCAAGACACAAACCAGCCTCCTGTTTGAAGTGTAATGAGCCATGCAGTAGATGAACTAGAGGAAGAAAACTATTATGGCCTTAATTTGGAGTAAAAGTGCTCAATAAATAAGGAGACTTGTTAGAAGGGAAGAAAACTGAATGCTAGAGACACACCACAAACAGGCCCAGTCGGGTGTAGTATCTGTAACCCAGGAAGGATTGTGGGGATCTCAGTGTCAGGAGCAGAGACTCCATGTGCTGGGTATGACCACATTCCTCCCTGGGCAGTGGGGGGAAATGAAAACAAGATAAGTGCAACAGCATACCCCAAGAGAACAGGGTTTTGCTTGGTTTGTTAGGGCAGTATTTTCCCTGAGGAAGAATGACCTCCAGAGGTTCAGGTGAAGCAAGTCCTTAGGAGAAGTAATAATTTGTTCCAGCTGGTATTGGTACTAATCTCTTCCTCAGCTCTCTAAAGGAGATAACTCTCAGCAAAGGGTGCCAAGTCTCAAGTTTACAGAGAATTCAGAAAGTACCAGGGGACTACCCACATGCAGCTTTACCCTCTCTGAACACCAGCCACTCTTCCAGGGCTGCAGCCCAGTGCCAGACTTCTTACCCAATAAAGCTGTCTTTGCTGACAGCATCCAATGCTTCTAGTGCTGTTCTTACCAAGAAACTCACTGAACAGCATTAGCCTGTGCACTACTACTTTTCCTGCTCTGGGTTGTAACTACTACACCAAGGTAGACTCCAGCTGGGACACCATCCCCAGTGTATGTAACAACAAAGCTGTCAATGGGAAGAGCAATAAGGGCCACGAAGCACTCAGAGGTGCCTGCAAGCCCATTCCAAACCACCCATCTCTAAACCTCTGAAGAGATGGCACCAGACAGAGCCAAACTAACGCTGCTTAAGCAGGTCTACTCAGAATCAAGCTCTCTCCTATCAGCAGGTAGACATTAACATAGTACGGCTCCACCAAAACAGGATACCAACAGGCACTATTAGGACTTCAGGAAAAATACAGGTAAAGATACTGCTTAGTCCACTAACACAGAGGTTTAGTGCTGTCCCTTACTAGTATTCAGTGTGTTGCCTGCAGAACATGCTGCTGTCCTGCAGAACACATTCCTTCTGCAAGCTGAGCAATCACGGAATTATCCTGCTGCAAACCCAGAGTTTCAAAATCACAGTATCACAGACTGGTTTGTGTTGGAAAGGACCTTAAAGCTTATCCAGGTCCAACCCCATGCCAAGGGCAGGGATACCTTCCACTAGAGGAGATTGCTCCCAGCCCCTGTGTCCAACCTGGCCTTGAATACTGCCAGGGATGGGGCAGCCACAGCTTCTCTGGGTGCCCTGTGCCAGCGCTTCAGCACCCTCACAGGAAAGAACTTCTTGATATGCTTAAATACATCTAGTTAAAAGCCAGCCTCCAGCAAATACCATTCCTCCTTCATGCTCATGAATCCTTCCAAGGGGAACAGTGACTCCAGAAGAGGTCTAAGGAGTAACGTCCTTATATACTTAGTCAGGCCACATTTAATCTTGTGAAACACATGCACCAAAATACAGCATCACCTCTTACTAGGAAAAAAGGCCACCAGCAGCCTTGTTACAAAGCAATTCCTCAGATATAAAGGACTGACATGCTGAGGTGAGGCAGGTTTTTCAAGCAGCCCAAGAAATACCTCCCTGGGACCTGAAAGCATTTCTGACCACTCTGCTTGCAGTGCACCTCCAGTCAAAGACAGGGAATGTGCTGTGCTCTTCTGCCTGTCTCCAGGGGCTCTGTTGTGCTGTCTGTTCAGCAATGACTGGTAGCTGCTGAAGTAGCCTGCATGCATTTCATTTTGGCAGGAAAGAGGGCAGAGAACACATGCCCAGCAGTGGCAGGCAGAAGAAGAGGCTTCCCTTAGGGCATCTGGCCCAGGGCCTCAGTGGATTTTGCTCTAGAAGCCCAGAAAGCAAATACCAGCAATCAGAAATCTAATGAAAGGTCAAGACTTCTGTATCAAAGCTAAAAATACACATCACTGAACCCCCCCCTCCCAAGTGCAGGAATCTGAGACCACAAAACCTGTGTACAAACCAGTTTCCACTGGGCTCCAAGAGCTCTGCCCAGCATCCCAGAAACCCAAACTGGAAACAGTTACATACATCATCCCTGCAATGATGGCAGCAGTCCCGTTCAGGGTCCAGTGTGATGGGGTCTCCACACAGCAGGATGTGGGAGCTCCTTCTGGAATTCTCCAAGGTGAAGAACAATATTCACCTCACCCAGAATTCATACTGACCTTTCAAATGGAAGAAGCCACAAAAGCTACTTGATCGAGTAGCTCTCACAGCAGCTAAGCACTTTGCAGGTAGTCCCGAATCCTGAGTGATCTGACTCTCACAGAGCACTACAGAAATAGCTGTCTGGTAGGGACAGCCTCCAGATATGGGAGGGCAAAGCTGCTGAATGCAAACAGATTGCAACATGATGAATTATTCCTAAAATCCAGCAGTGCTCCAGGTCCCAGTCAAGTAAAAAGCAGCAAAATTAAAAAGAGAGGACAGCCTGAACAGCACTGCTTGCATGGTCAGGGTTTTACACCAGGGGAAGTAACAAACTCCAGGAATTCCACATTTCTGGCTCACCTCAGGAAAAAAGGTTTCCCAAACAGTTCATAAAGTCCAGCAGCACCTCTGAAAGGGGAGGGGGTGGATTTCTTAATTTCTTAAGCCCACTGCAATACATTTATCTGTCATCTCTCTGGATGAGGTTGTGATGTTTCTCCCCCCAAACGGGCTTTCTGAGTAAAGCCTATATGATGAAGAAGTATCAGCATCATCCCTCCAGCTGTGGCCAGTGGGTCACAGGATAGTCCGTAAGATGCTCTGCTGCTCAGTTTCACATTCCTTCACTGTTTCCTGAAATCCTGCTGGAGTCCTACTGGTGATAAACCCAGAAGGCTGGAGCTGGTCAATAGCAGAGTCTGAAAAAAGCATCATCTTTCCTGTGATGTCTCACTGGAAGGAACCAGGAGCAGCTCCAGCCTACCTGAGCCGCCCCCCCAAAGACCCAGAGTGCAGCCACTGCTTCCTTACAACACAGCAAGGAGAAAAGAACATCTGGGACCCTCACTTGTTTCTGTGGATTCCACCCAGGGCAGCACAAAGACAGCTCTGGAGAGACGT